AATTTAACCAGATTTTGAGGATTGTGGGGGTAGCTTTGCAAAATTAAAGTTAATTTGGTAAACAAAATTTTTTTTCAAAAATCCTAAAAAAGGTATACTTATTTAAAAGAAACCTTTCGGGCTAAATCACAGAATATTTTCGGAATAAATATTTTATCTTCAGTGCTGCTACTAAGTATAGATGTTTAAAGCCATTGAAAACATGGGTGAAAATCCTTTAAATATTATTTAATTGGTATTAGATTAAATGGTTGCTAATAATTTTGTAGGATGTTAATAAGCAGATTAACGTAAGCTCTCAACGAGGGTTACTGGTCAGAAGACGTAGTCTCTAAACGGACCTTAGGTATCAAAAATCAAAATTATTTTCAAAATTATCGGTAACCATGTAATCTAACATGTCAACAGAAAGGAATATCCATCGATGGAGAAAGATTAAACCATCTACGTTTTGTGGACGATATCGTGGTTCTGTCAGATAATCTGGGAGAGATCAAAGACATGCTCCAAGAACTGAATGACATACTACAAGAAACTGGGCTGGAGATAAATTTCGCGAAAACCAAAATGATGACCAATATGGTCCCAGCGAAGAGATACAAAACAATAACAACAAGGTAGAATTAGTCAATAAATACACATACTTGGGTCATGAAATTAGAATAACCAGAGACAACCAAACCTGCGAGCTAATTAGACGAATCATGTTGGGATGGGCGGCATATGGACGGACGAGAGACATTTTTAAAACAAATATCCCAATTCACCTGAAAAGGAAGGCATTTAACCAATGCATCTTACCAGTCTTGACCTACGGAGCAGAGACCTTAACTTTAACGAAAGCTACTGCCGAAAAACTGAGGGTAACAGAAAGGCGAATGGAGAGATCAATGCTGGGCCTGACCTTGAAAGATTGCGTAAAAAATAAGGAGATAAGGAGACCAAGAGCCGACAAGCGAAGTCGAGGCAGACCACCCACCCGATGGACCGACGACCTAAGGAGAATAGAAACAAACTGGATTGCAGCAGCTAGAGATAGAGAGAACTGGAGACGTTTGGAGGAGGCCTATATCCAACAATGGATGTGAAAATTCGGATGGATGATGTAATCTAATATCAATTAAATAACATTTAAAGGGTTTTCACTCAGCTCTAGTAGCTTTGAACATGTGTACCTAGTAGCGGCACTGAAGATGGAATATTAATGAAATCGTTCTGTTTTTTGGCTCAAAAGGGTTCCTTTAAATAAATAAAACTTTCCTTGCGAATATTAGGTATTCATGTTTTGTATGATTTATGTAATAGCCATATATTTTTATGCGTATTTGTACATGAAATTATCATGAAGGATCCAAAGTAATATTGGATTTGATTGTCCAGTACGATAAAAACTGCATTAGTAATTTTACACAATAATGTCGTTATTTATATTCTATTCTATATTAATAAATCTATTCTTAAAACATAATTATTATCTTAGGTCGTATTGATCAATTAAACTTAAATACAATGGATTTTGTACTCCAATTGAAATTTATAATTAAAATCATCCACTCAAACTTTCACAATAAACCACTTTATATATGTAGTTTCTAATTTTTTCGATACTGAGAATGTGGTTGTACTGTAATTGTTTTAGACTTCCGTCTGATCTTTACTTTTTTTCTTCTAAATCTGGTTTTATCTCTTTCAGGTGAGTGTCTCTAAAAGCAATCCAATGCAGCGAGGGCGTATACTAACTAGTAGGTAAGCGTATGTTTTTAAGCAGTGACAGGACGAGATTTTTTTAACTTGGAATATGAAAACCGTTATAGTAAAAAATAGTATAGTAACGAATTTGATCTAAAAGTGTTTTTCAACCAACACCATACATGATATATAAACCTAAACAAAACTTGGAATGTACCAGAACGACAATGGAAATAAATAGAAAATGTCGGTAGATTGACCTAAACTGTCAATTACACAGGCCGACATGATTTTTGGTGTTTTTGAGTTTGACATGTGTCCTTAGCTAATACGGGTACGCTGACTATGAATACGAATTCGGTTTAAGCTCATCACGTCAAAATTTTTCACAAAATTAAAAAAAAAAAAATCTAGTGAGATGTACTAGTGCAAACAAATACGTTATTGATGTTTCGTATATTGCATTAAAATTATTTCTTTAAAATACTTGATAGATCGATAGAAAATATTTTAGTACATTATTATGTTAATTTCATTTGAATGGCAACACTCATCACTTCAAAATTTTCACAAAATTGAAAAAACCTTGTGATATATTATATACTAGCGCAAACAAACACCTTACTGGTGCTTGTAAAGCTTGGTGATCAGAGCTCCACACAAAGTGTACTTTCAGTGTGTCGAACTACTAAGGAAATGGACAAGAGGTACACGTAACTATGGTATGGAGGGAACCAAAAAACCATGACAACTGCTACTTTTGCTCTTGAGTTATCAAGGGTTTCAATTCAATACATTCACACAAAATTCAATATCCTAATTTACCTTTTGCTAAACGACCTATATCATATAAACCAGGAATCCCTATTCCTTTAGCTTTTCTCTACACCATCCAACAGCAATCATCAGATGAAAGGTCAGACGAAAAAACCGATGAAGATAAATTCAATCCTGAGATAGACAAACCTTAAAAGCTGAATTAAATGACCTACTGAGGGCCTATCAAAGGATGCTGCACAAATCTTAGAATCACTACTGAAAGATAAACATATATTGGTTCCAGGTACCACATTTTTGTGGTATACGCATGAAAAAGAGTTTGCGGAATATTTTTCGCAAGAGGGTTCACGGGTGTATTGTCATAATATTTCTGCAGTAGTCATGAAACTGGGAGCTAACAATTACGATTCCACATCATGGCGGTAATTCTTCTAAGAGAAGTCTAAAGAGTGTCATTGTTGCACAATGGTAATACTTGTGCCTCAGTGCCTGTTGCTCACTCCGTGAATCTGAAAGAAAGCATAGCGAAGATTGTTGGTAATTTTGTGGAGATCTTTTGTGGAGATTCATGCTTTTGGGTCAGCAGTCTGGATGTGTGAATAGTATCCATGTTTTTTATACGACTGGGACATTCGAGCACGAAATTTACATTACGTTAAGAAACAGTGGCCACTCAGAGAAAGACTAGTAACGAGATAAAAAAATGTGCAACGTGATACACTAGTTGATCTAAAATTAGTTCTTTTTCCTCGTCTTCACATAAAGTTAGGATAAGTAAAGCAGTTTGTCAAAGCTTTAGATAAACAATGTGACTGCTTTAAATATCTGTGCGACAAATTTCCTGCACTTCCTGACGCTAAACTTAAACAAGGAATTTTTGTAGGCCCTCAAATTCGAACCTTAAAATCGGACAGATTGTTCCAGAATACAATGATCAAAGAAGAAGCATAGAGTTCTTTCTTAGAACTCATAGACGGTTTATTTGGAAATAACAAGTCTTCAGACTATAAAGAAATTGTAGCTAACGCGGTCGAAAATTATAAAAAACTGAGATGCAATATGGGCGTCAAACTTCGTTTTTTGGATTACCACGTTGACTATTTTCCCGAAAATATTGGAGCTGGAAAAAAGGTTCCATCAAGATATAAAGGAGATGGAAAGGAATATGGGATGTAAAAATAATGAGATTACTGCTGGACCTTAAAGAGAGACTCAATCATAAAAATCCATTAAAAGAAGACCACAAATTGCAGTTTTCATGGAAAAAGAAAACGATTTTATTAAAAAAACAACAAATATTGTGTAATGTAGGTTATACTAAATTCTGTTTTTTTAGACAACTCAAAATTTTGCAGTGTAATTGTATATTAAATAAGGTTTCAATAAATATTTCCTAAGTATTTTTGGCAGTTTTTATGAAAAATTCAAAAATACTTGTCTTGAAAACCTTACGTACTGGAAAAAACTAAGTATAGATTCGTGATCAGCACATCCCATTTACTATAGGATACCTATTCAACTTAAAACACTTTTTCATGAAAATAAAAATGTAAGCCTGTGTTATTAAAGGCAACTAAACATAAAATATTGATGTTTGAATAGATGAATAGAATAAATACAGCGTTTTTACAAATACAGCTTCTTAGATACGAGACATGATATGAAGCAATCCGCTAACAGAATGTTTAGACAGGCAGCATAACTGTTACAGGATGTAGATGTTGGTATATCTAATACTTTTAAATACTATTCACAAAGGGTAACATATGTTATAAAACTCCAACATGCAGACGGATAACTATCTGTATACTGTAAGGATTTTAATGTTAAAGTATCATTTTAGAGTATCAATATTCTTAGTTATATTTTTCTGCGGTTTCTGCTTTCTATATACTTTTTAACTAAAAGTTTGTTGTAGAACCTTTGCTGATGGTGAAAGATACACAAGGCGATCCATACCGCAGACAATTTTCTTTTAGACATATTTAAAGCATTTTTAATATCTTTAATAATTCAAATATATTAATTCGTCCAATTACGCCTTCTTCTGAGAAGCAGCAGCTTTTATAGCTTTTGGTGAACTTACGGCAGCCTTGGCAATCTTTGGCTTAGATGCCTTGAGTTTTTTCGTAGGACTGCCTTTATTTGATTTATTCGATTTGGTTGATATTTTTGCTTTGGCCTCTGCGGAAGTCAGAACTAGGGATGAAGATGACGCAGGTTTAGGTGCTGACTTCTCAACTTTCTTCGCATTTGCCAGCTTTTTCTCTGTCTTTGATTTTTGGCCTTTAAAGATTTTGCTTTTTCGCCCGCAGCAGATCGTTTGGCAGCGGCGGCAGTTATTTTCGGTTTAGTTGTTCTCTAGCTTTTTTTTTCTGCGGAACTAGGCTTTGCAGATCCAGAACACGACGATAAGGTAGACGCTAACTTGAAAGATCCTGATGCGCCTTTTCCTTTTGTTTGAAACAACGATCCAGTAGCAACTGCAGCTTTTAAATATTTTTTGATGAAAGGTGCAAATTTTTCCGTATCTACTTTGTAATTTGCAACTTCTTGATAGCTTGAAGAGAAGAATCACCTCTTTCCTTGAGCCCTTTCCGACGAACCATTTCCGACGTTGGAGAATGAGAAGGTTTTGCCCGTGGACTTTTTGCCTTCTTTTCCTTTTTGGATGGCGAAGATGTTTGTGGCGTTCCAGATGCCGACGTAGCTGAAGCGGCTGATGATTGGTTTTCTCTATCTGCCATTTCGTTGGAGATATAAAAAATCTTAAGTTAATATGCGGTATGAAACGATTCACTAACTGCAGAGCGAAAACTCAAACGTCTTTCGTCTTTCTAGATTATACTCTTATAAATTAATTTAAAGTGGAGGCATGCTATAACGTTTTAGTTTGGTCGAAGTTAAAGTTGACGTCTTTTTAGCTCTAAAATCTATAAAGATTATTGAAATATATACTAAACAATAATTTAACATTACCATTTTAAACTGAGTAATTTCGTCCATTTTTTGTCTATGATCAATTTAATTGCACAATTGCGGAACATTTTTTAAATATTTTCCTACACGGTAAAATGTTTTCCATCATATATTTTCCTTCTAATGATTAAATTGTTTGCCGACTATAATAAACTAAATTACTTGTAGCTGGGCCCGTAACACTTCCGATCCTGTTTGTGCAACGCCTCTGTTATTAATCCATAATTGAATTCAGAGCACATTCTTGATTTTCTTGAATTGCTGGCATTCATTTGCTGCAAGTATTTATTCTCTGGTGACATGCAGAAACAGGTATGTGCATTTTGATTTTCTTCACTGTCATTCGTCATTTTAATAGGTACTTGTTTTTCTTATAAGGAATTATTGCGACAGGCATTTTTTCTTTCAAAAAATAACGTTCGCGTGATTCTGTAATGGTCGTGTTCTGTAACTATTACAAAAGGCTCGAGGTGTACAAAAAAAGCACCCGCATGCTCAATTCACGTCAATGTTGCGACAATTCCTCGTCATTATGGCAAATTTCATTATCGCAAACTGCTACAAATTAACTGCGATAGGGGTAAGAATTGAAAAAAGAACTGGTGTTGAATATATAACTAGAGCTGGTGTTTAGACTTTATAACTGTTTCTTCGTCTGTCTTTTGAATAGACATAGCGGTCGTTTCAAAAACAAATTCAAATTTTAGTCATTTATAGCAAACAAGCACGGCAAATGGCAACAAATCCTTATCATGAATTATCAAAATTATGAATATAGAAAACAAATATTAAAATTATATATGTATGTATATTTATATATTAATGTGATATTCAAAGTCTTAAGTGCGCCAAGCAAATAATAAGCTAATTAAATAATTAATTAAACTTATTTAAATGATATGATTATGATTCTATCACACTATTTAATTCTCTTATCTCAGGGTTATACTCGTGCTTCAATATCTATGCTGTACATGTGAAAGGTAAGGTCCAAAGAATACCGGAATAATAAAAAACATATATGATATAACATTATATATTGAAATAAAAATATATTGAAATAAAATTCACACTCAAATATCTTCAATAAACAATATCTCATATAATGATTATCAAACTTTTGTTCTACGTACGTGAACCTTCAAAATTAATGGTACAAACAATATAAATTAAAATCTCAAATCACAATTGTTGTTCTAAATCTCCTAACCAAAGCATTGCATAATTGCATAATTCGTCTGGCCCAGTTACTTTCTTATTCTGTGCTAGATTTATTCCTTTTTGCATCTCATCGGTTATTTTAGGTCCAGTCAATATATTTTCCATTTGAATTTCTGTTCTTTCTCTTTGTACATATTCAGCGTCTGGTCTTTTTCTGCGTTTAATCTATTTCAATATATATATTTTTTTCTGCTATTATTCTTGTTCAATCGGAATTTATACAACCCTGTTAAAAAAGTGCGAGCAGCAGGTAGACGACATCCAATTTGACTTTCCAACTCATGGAGGCTGTATTCTCACTCAATATAATTTCACAGCGATCCATGACATGTAGAAGATATATTTCAAGATATATATTTTGTTATGCTACTATTCTTGTTCAGTCGGAATTTACACAACCCTGTAAAAAGTGCGAGCAGCAGGTAGACGACATCCAATTTGACTTTCCAACTCATGGAGGCTGTATTCTCACTCAATATAATTTCACAGCGATTTTGATTGCGTTCAGCATCAGAAACTATCAGAAATACTCAGAGCAACGGGTATAAATGAGGGTGACCTACAAATCATTACAGACCTGTTTTAAGATAGCATAAGTAAAGGTGGAGAACAACATAACTATCGGAGGAAATGGTCATAAGAAAAGGTGATAGAGAATTTATAGGACTTATAGGACCTATAAGCATGGAACTTCAAGAGAAATTATTCTCTACGACTGTGAGAGCTAGACTCTTACTCTCAATAGAAAAATGCATCGAAGGTTTTGAAATGAATATTTATACAATAATACTACTTATTCCTTAGATCAAAAGGACAACAGGCGATGAAGTTCTTAATAGAATCCAGAAAAACAAAAGAAACTGATGGCAACGATCAACAAAAAGCTGTAACTAAACTGAAAGGACGCTTTAAAACATAATTTAACTTTATAATATCGGTATCCACCACCTTTGTTTTATTTCGTTGGTTTGAGCATTTTGCATCCACATTCGCTTATCATATTTTTAAAATCATCATATCAACTAATAATATTTTTGTGTATTTGGCCAATATGTAGTTCTCGTTTTTCGTCGTTTCTAGTATCACCATTTGTTAAGAAGTCATTATCATTTATTCCAGTCTTATTCGTCTTCTTTAAGTGCAGTCTCCCATTCGGAGGTTGGATATCATCATCACTACCTTTACTTTATCTACTGCTGCTCTGAAGAGTTCTATAGAACTGCTTTTAAACCAGTCCCTTAAATTCTTCCACCGTGACACTCTCCTTCTTCCTATACTCCTTCCTTCTCTTATCTTTCCCTGTATTATCAGCCTTAGCTGTTCATGTCGCTGTCCCCTCATTACTTGTCCCAGATATTGTAACTTTATTATTTTTATTGTAAAAAAATCCACAAGGAAAAAAATTCCTGTAACTGGCTGTATACCACGTATCACAAAAAGAGGTTAGTTTTCGTAAATGGGTATATTTATTTAAAAAAAACCCTTAAAAAGGCTACATCAATAAAACAAACGTTTTCGGACCACACAGTCCATCATCAGGTTTTAAAATTGAAAAAATGCCTAAAAATAAGTATAAACCATTTAGTTAAAACAAACGTGATTATGAAATTTTGACTATGGTTGAAAAGCAAAAGATGGTTATACTTACTAGGTCACAATGCCTGAGCCACCAAAATACTAGGGTAAAAACCCTAGTATCAGAAATAGTAAACCAATAGGATGAATCATAGGGCGTAAACATAATTTATTTCTCTGTGACGTTCTGCGTACTCTCTCGCCAAGTTAGCTGGCGATGATTGTAACTAAATGTAATTTAAAGGGTTTTTACCCTAGTATTTTGGTGGCTCAGGCATTGTGACCTAGTAAGTATAACCATCTTTTGCTTTTCAACCATAGTCAAAATTTCATAATCACGTTTGTTTTAACTAAATGGTTTATACTTATTTTTAGGCATTTTTTCAATTTTAAAACCTGATGATGGACTGTGTGGTCCGAAAACGTTTGTTTTATTGATGTAGCCCTTCATTTGGGTTTTTTAAATAAATATACCCATATATTTCTTTGCCCACTTTTCGCTACTTCCGTGTTAGTTTTCTTCTGTGTCCATGCTATTCTAAGCATCCTCCTGTAACACCACATTTCAAAGGACTGTAACTTATTTATGTGTTCTTGCTTTAATGTCCAGTCTTATTACTGGATATTTATTAAAACTGAACCAACTTTTGTTTACCAATTAGTTGGACATCTATTTGTCTTTAAATTATTCTTTGTGGTTTCTTTAAATTCATATATTCTCGTTTTTGTTATATATTTTAACTATGAAGTTTATTAACTCTTGTTCGATGTGGAAGAGTATTTAATCACATTTTTTATTTCGCATTAGTTGATCATTTAAGCTTGAACTCACAACACAATGTTTTTGTTGAAAAAACGATAAGAAAACATAAGTGAAGTTGCTAATTAGATATCAAAGAGTGGCACACGCGTATCTAGCATCTGTATCTGCCGTTTCATGATTTCATTCACCTTATGCGGCTCCCGTAATTGGATCCCTGCAATCCGATAGCCAGGCCGATAAGTGCAGTCTCCGTACTTATCGACTGTGGGAAATTGGCTTCGTTTCGCAAAAATACGGTACTTCGGGTGGATTGGTCGGTGCCGGACGATGTTACAGCAACGAAACTTTCGAAAATTTAACATCATTGAAAAGGGAATATAAATAAATAAATAATATTTAAAATGTTAAAATATGGACATTCTAGCTTGTGTACTATCCAGAATGAGAAAAAAGTTTTAAATAACTATGCTATAGTTTATTCAAATATTATTGTTACAAAGTTTAATCCATTTCCACAATTTGCATAAATATTTTGTATCAAATCATTAACAGCATGGTAAACGGGAACAAACTTTCTAATTACTTAAAGGAAATAGCAAAGAAGTAGGGAAACAGACTTGGAAGCAAACTTAAAACCAAAAAAAAACTGGTAAAACTTTATCAAGGTAATCTGTCTATCCCCCCGCTCTCTTTTTCTCTATTTCTGTTGTCGTTACCCCATTACTGAAGATTATTATTTCCCCTAATACCGCGAACTAAATGATTTTATTGGTTACTAGCTTCTACAGCCCCAATTGTGACAGAATGAATACCGGATTCAGTATTAGTGGTCAGTGCATCAAGTCGGTGAACGTCCCCTTGCTTTCCTTCTACGAAATTTTCCTGACACAATCACTACTTCTAAATTACCTTCGCTCCTGCGGTTCAAATGCCCGAAGAACGACAGAATTCGTTTTAGACAGGTTGTAGACAGACTTATAATATTAGGTAGGTTTAAAGGGCTTGGTTTCGGTATTTTTCGGAGCAGCGGGAAAGTCTAGATTGGAACATGTGAGAAATGAGGACATAAGGAATCAAATGAATGAACAAAGATCAATTACAGAAGACATCGAAAAACAACAACTAACATGGTACGGACATGTTAGACGTATGGGGGAAGAAAGACTCCAAAAAAAATATTAGAATGGGTACCACCAGAGAAAAGAAAAC